AACCTCTTTCGATGATTGATGATCAGTTTGATCAACTCAAGGGTGCTTCAGTATTTTTGAATATTGATCTTCGATCAGGGTATCATCAATTAATGATTAAAGAGGAAGATATTCTAAAGACTACTCTCAGGACCTGATATAGTCACTATGAGTTCATAGTGATTCCATTTGGATTGACTAATGCTCCAGCATAATTCATGGATTTAATGAATCGGGTGTTTCAACCATCCTTGGATCAATTTGTAGTCGTGTTCATTGATGATATTTTGGTGTATTCTAATGCCAAAGAGGAGCACGGCTCACATCCCCGCATTGAACTTCAGACATTGTGAGATAAAAAGTTATATGTTAAGTTATTGAAATATGAATTACGGCTGTCAGAAGTTGTTTTTCTTGGACATGTGATTATAGCATAGGGAATCCGAGTAGATCCCAAGAAAGTACAAGCTATAGTAGAGTGGAAGACTCCGAAGAATGTTTTCAAAGTTTGAAGTTTCTTGGAATTAGCTGGCTATTATCAGAGATTCGTGAAGAATTTCTCGATGATTCACTTACTAAGTTGCTCATGAAAGATGTGTCATTTGTTTGGACTAAAAAGTGCCAAGAAAGTTTATATACACTTAAGAAGATTTTGACAGAAGCACCAGTGTTAGTGCATCCAGAATCGGGTAAGGATTATATGATTTACAGTGATACATCCCATAATGTTTTGGGATATGTTTTGATGAGATAAGGTAAAGTGATAGCCTATGCTTCGAGACAGTTAAAGATGCATGAAAAAAATTATCCAACGTATGATTCAGAGTTGGCAGTTGTGGTATTTGCTATGAAGATTTGGCACCACTACTTATATGGTGAGCAATGTTATATTTATATAGATCATAAAAGTTTAAAGTATTTGCTAACTCAATAAGAATTGAATCTAAGACAAAGGAGATAGATTAAGCTTCTAAAAGACTATGATGTGATTATTGTTTATCATCCTAGGAAAGTGAATGTAGTATCTGACGCACTTAGCCGGAAGACATTATCTGCTTTGAGAGCTTTAGATGCTCAATTATCAATGAAAAATGATGGTGCACTTATTGTAGAATTGAGATTGAGGCCTTTACTATTAGATTGAATTAAAGATCTTCAAAGTAAAGATAAAAAATGTTTAGAAATGATCGAGCAAGTGAAGAAAGGTGAAATGAAAGACTTCGAAGTTAAGCCTGATAAATGTTTACATTATCGGGGTCAAGTTTGCATACTCGATGATGAAGAATTAAAGAAAGATATTCTTTCTGAAACTCATTAGAATCCTTTGACTATGCATCCTAGAGGGAATAAAATGTATCAAGATTTGAAGAGTCGATATTGGTGGGCAAATATGAAAAAGGCTATAACTGAGTTTATATCTAAATGTCTAACCTATCAGCAAGTAAAACAGAGCATCAGGTGCAATGTGGTTTGCTGCAACCTATTATCATTCCCAAATGGAAATGGGAAAGGGTTACCATGAATTTTGTGACAAGTTTACCTTTGACACCCAGTAAGAAAGACTCGATCTGGGTGATTGTAGATAGATTGACTAAGACAACACACTTTATCCCAGGTCAGACAGATTACTCGATGGATAAGTATGTTGAGTTGTATATTAAAGAGATCGTATGACTTCATGGTGTACCTGTCTCGATAATTTCTAAAAGAGATCCGAGGTTTACATCGAGATTCTAGAAGTCTCTGTATGAAGCTCTGGGGAGTCAACTAATCTTCAGCACAACTTTTCATCCATAAACAGATTGTCAATATAAGCAAACCATTCAGAAACTTGAATATATGCTAAGGGCTTGTGTTATTGATTTTAAAGGATCATGGAAAAAGTACTTTGGCTTTGGCTGAGTTTGCTTATAATAATAGTTATCAATCGAGTATCAAGATAGCTCCTTTTGAAGCTCTATACGGAAGAAAATGTCGGACACCATTGAACTGGTTTGAGCTAAAAGAAAGAGGCATAATTGGCCCAGATCTGATCAAAGAAGTGGAAGACAAAGTGCAAACAATATAAGATAATCTCAAGATAGTTGTTGACAGACATAAATCTTATATTGATTTGAAGAGGAACGAGATCAAATATCAAGAGGGAGAATTAATCATTGGTGAAATGAACCGGTAGTAAAAATTCTGAGTTTCGGGAGCAAAGGAAAGTTAAGTCTGAGATTCATTGGCTCGTTTAAGATTATCAAAAGAGTTGAACCGGTAGCTTATCAGTTAGCACTACCTCCAGAAATGAAAAAAATCATAATGTGTTTCTTGTATCAATGCTACGGAAGTATTAATCATATACTTCGCACGTGATTCCACCAGAAGAAATTGAGATTCAGCCGGATCTAACGTACGAGGAGGGAACTTGTAAATATTTTAGCTCATGGAGTCAAAGAACTGAGAAATAAGACAATTACACTAGTAAAAATTCTTTGGTGAAATCATAAAGTTGAGAAAATGACTTGGGAACGATAATAAGATATGAAAAGACAGTTTCCTCATCTTGTTACAACATGTATATAGATACATATGGAAAAATTGAGGGAGAACATTCTTTAAGGGGGAAGAATTATAATACCCCAAATTTTGGTTTATGACTAAAATGTAAGTTTTAAAAGTTTGGGGGCTAAAGTATAAACTTTATAAAAGTTTAGGGACCAAAAATATAATTTTGAAAAGTTGTATATTTTAGCCTGTAAATGAAAATTTTGGCCTAAAACAATAATTTTCGTGGGAATCAGATTTTCGGTACTAGATTTATATTAAAAGTTATAAAGCGGTAAAGTTCGGTATAGAAATCGGATAATCGAATCAAACCATAATTTTATGAAAATTTGAAGGATGTTAGATAAGGGTTGGAAATATTATGTCCATATTTTAGATTGGAGAAATTTAGCACTGATCAATGTAATTTATCAGATTTTGGTCGAATAGTGGCAATTCAATGACTAAAATGTAATTTTTGAAAATTACATGGCCAAAGTAGGAAGTCAAAGCTAAATGGATTCATCTTTGACCAAGGAATATTTTAATGGAAGATAATGCAATGGCATTTGGTAATTTTCAAGATTTATTAATGGTAAATTAGGGATTTTTCATAAATTGAATATAAATTGAATTATAAATTCAATTTAATTAGTTAAATGCCTAGTGTATTAAGAAAATTACTAGAAAAATCAAAAGTTCTTCTCCATCATCTTGCTGCCATGAACCCCTACAAGATGAGAAAAAAAATTCTTTTTCATTTTTAAGCTATTTTAATAGGATTTTGGATTAAATTGTAAAATAAAAAAATGTTCTCCTTCAAATTCTCTATCATTTGGTATACGAAATTCATGCTAAACATGTTTGGATATTGAGATTTGGTGATTAGGGTTTATTAAATGTTTATGGATTTTGAATGATTTAAAGGAAGATTATTATGAATTTGATGTTGGAGATTATTCCTAAAGCATGTATGATGATGAAAATTATTTGTACATGCTTAAATAATATTCGGCCACATCTTGGGTTTAATGATATCGGCCATATGAAGAAAATTAGGGGGGAAATATTGAAAATTTTCCCATGGTTTAGAATGGATATTAGAAGTGTTCTATGTGATTTGGAGATCATTTTGGATCAATTTGGAACTTTGAAATAGAAAAGGGGCTAGTTTGCAAGTTATGAGAATTGTGGGACTTTAAAGTGTAAATGTACAATTTGAGGTACTCAATGTTGATTTATAATGATTATATGCTGGAATTTTAAGTTGGAATGTTGTTTGATACCAAATTTTAAATTTGGTGAAATTGGAAGGTGGAATTCGAAAGGTCCTAGGAATCTAGGGACTTGATTTCAAATTATTGGATTTTAAAGTATTGATTTCAGTATTTTATTAAGGTGCTGGAAATTTGGTAATTAATGTGCAATGGTCATAATGGTGAAGGATCAATATGAATTTAATGGAAAAGTTAAGATGAATTCTATAAAGAATTCATAATTAGTGATTGGATTGTGCAATTGGCAAAATTTGAAGGGTTGACGATGAAAATAAATATTCATGAAGTCAAATGAGGATTTTTGAAAGTTTGATATTATTATGAATATATGATTTAGTTTTATATCAATTAAGTATCGATTTTTATTTTTTATACATTTTTATATTATCAAAGTTAGTTTATGTTAGTATAATACTAACTTATAATTCGAATACTTTGTGTTATTATGTTATGTTGTCAGATCACAATAAATCTAGCGAACCAAATGACCCGAAAGGAAAAGATAAAGCTCTTGATTAGGAGTATCGCATAAAAGGTTCGGTAGTAAGGCAAAGGTGAGTGCATCTTATTCATTTAATTATTCTGATCGAGAGAGACTTGCGATATTTCAACCTCATATTATTTTAAAGTATGGTTTCTAATTAATTAAGGATTATTTCCATAATGTTTAAATAAAAGTTTTATGAATGGTTTAGGGTATGAACTACTCAATTTTATGTTTTTATGGTAATGAATAGAAAATGTTTCCGATATTGAACTGTTGATTATTCAATGATTATAATACTACCTGAAAAGCCTATTGTATACTGTATTGAGAATCGTAAGTACATTTGGCATATCATTGTGTTGAGTAATACTGATTTTAATATACTACATTCGTATACATTATGACTAACACCTTTGGTGCAAATGATATGATTGCACTTGGAGTGCAGAGTTGTCAGATTTCTCTTGAATAAACTTCCAAAGTTTCTCTGCAAAATGAACTAAAAAAGTTACCAAAATTTAGCCAATTCGAGGCTGGAGATTATGGTTACGGTATCTTCATTTAAGTACCTAAAGTTAGCCGGTTTCGATGGACAGAGCTTATGGTTTCTTAAACAAAGTGGCTTAACCCCGAGAGCAAACATGTTACACCAATCCAGTTTCTGGTTCTCTGAGAAAACGAAGGCTTGACCATAGCTCTTAACTGTTCCTGGAGCCATTGGGTAGTTATGTTTTTCCTCTAAAGGTAACATGAAGAAATCTTTGGCTACTTTTTCGATGTTTTCAACCACACTCGGGTCGATCCAATGATTCACAACCTGAAAAAACAACATGTGACTCAAGTTAATTCGAGTTCAATTATCATAGTGTAAAACTTCAAGCATGTTAGTACCTGAAAAAATCCTAATTCCTCGCAGGCGGTCTTGAGTTACAAGATTTGTCTTCCTTGTTCGTCTCTGTCATTCCACGAGCTTAGAAAGATCGATAATGGGAATGTCATTAGGTGAGGGAACAATCGTGGCTAGTTTTGGTCTCTCGGAATTGTCTCGGACAAATCTTCGAGGGATTTGTGTTGGTTTGGTCTTTCTCAGTTCTTGGACATCATCAATATGTCCAACATTAATGGGAAAACTAGGTACTGGAGCCATGAAAACAGAACAAGAATGCTGTTGGAAACTGATGCGTGATGCAATGATATTTAGGGTTTACTTGGAAGCTAAGCTATTGCTAAGAGCTTCTATTTATAGATGGTGAAAGTGAACATTTGTGCACGCTTTTGCATTGTTCATGTGACATTTGTGGGACCCATTTTATATAATTCACAATTCTCTTAAACCAAAAATTGAAATTCGAACGTACGATATGATGACAAGTGTATTATCTTTTAAAGCATTTAAATCCGACATCCATAGCTACACGTATTCGGACATTGTCGGCATACCCCGGATTTGCTGCTCGGGACATTGTTGCAGTGATTTCGATCGCCGATTCGGACTTGATTTTCGTAGAAAATACTTTGAAAACGATTAAGTACATGAGGAGAGAACACACTTAAACATTAAATTGCACGTTGAAGACCGATGATTGGACCCAAGGACTTAAGTATGAGGAGACATGGAATGTGGTCTAGAAGTGGGTAGTGGTACACACAACATGGGTGTATTATTGAAGTTATTGCAGAGTTTGTGAGTGGCACCAGTGGTGTTGGGATTATCATGTGGCGTATTTTAAATGTGACATATTTTTCGGAATGCTAAATACTTAGAAATTAATTTAAATCATAATTGGAAAAGTGATTTTTAACCTAACTTCATAAGTTCAAATTTCTAATTTTTTGACTTGCAATTATATTTTTATCCTCGAATATTATATTTTTAAGTTGAAGTACTTTTTACAGTAATTTTTAAAATCACTTTTCAAAATTAATACCAATTTAAAGTGAAAAAGTTTATGACATTTAAGGATTAAAAATTGTTTTGTCCCTTAAAAGATACATGAAAATTAACTTTTCAAGTATCTTCTTCAAAGCACACCTTCAAAGAAGAAATCTAATTTGTACCTCCAAAAACAGGTAAATCCCTTGTCGTTTAGCTTGTTTTGTTCACGAAGAAATCCATGACCGTCGTCAATTTATCCTCAGAAGACATATGAACGAGGCATACCTCTGAAAAGCTGTGAAAACCTCCTCCTCGGACCAACGAAACTTCATCTTCCATGTTGATTTGCTCATCGAACTCATATAACACTGGGTGCTACCATGAAACTGGCCTAGATGGATTCAATCCCATAAACTTATTCAAACTACTAACAAAACGTTGAAGGAAGTAAAACAAAGTGCTAAAGCAATATTACGCTCAACAACTCCATAATCCAACAAAGTATGATGCTGGGTAACAAAATATCACAAGGATAAACTATTTTTAATTTTAATAGGATAACTATGCATTTAGAACTAAACTAAAAGTTTTGGTCCATTTAGTACTTAAACTTTTAATTTTTTCAAAATCATACCTAACATTTAGTTTTCATTTCATTTTAGTACCTCGCCATTAAAAACTTAACGTGTTTAGTACCTAAACTACCAATTTTGATTCGTTTTGGTACCTAAAATTTCAATCTTTTCAAACTTAACGTTAAATTTTGAACAAGGATACTATATGGAACAAACTGAAGTTTTTAACGGCAGTTACTAAATGAAACAAAAACTAAACATTAGGTATGGTTTTGAAAAAATTGAAAGTTTAGGTATTAAAATAGACTAAAACTGATAGTTTAGGTACTAAACAAGTTTTTAATATTGTTGATGATGTGACACTCCTGATCATAACCGACCTTACCAAAATGAACAAAACGGACCAAAAATCAAGTTCAAGAATTAACATGTACAATGTTCAAGGACAAAGTTGAGCAAATTTATCAAGTTCATGTTTATTCCTATTTTTAATGTCTTGCCCTCACATTGAAAAACTTAATCCAATGTAATTTTTCAAAGGTTGGTTTGCAATAGAAATATTCAAACCCACAACCTGGTAGAGGTCGTGGGTGTTTATTTATAGCCTTGAAAGACAAGAAAAAAAACATCTACATTGGCCTCTTTCTTGGGATGAAACAACCCTTTCCTTTATAGGTGATCCAAGTTCATCATCAATTTATCCTCAGAATACCTAACGAACAAAGGATTCCTCTAAAAAGCTTCGAAAACTCTTCCTCAGGCCAACCAAACTTGTCAAAAACTTCAATCTTCCTCTTTCATGTCGACATACTAATCGGACTCGTCGCAGAGAGTGCTACCATAAACATCGGCTTCGAAGGAGTAAATCATATTTCCTTTATTTCCTCTATCATATCTTTAAACTTAATTGGATTTCTAGAAAATGTTGTAGGCTGTGAACCAAGTGTTAAAGCAATATTACTTGGCAACTCTATATCCAGAAAAGTATTGATATTGGTTGACAAACTATCATCGAGATCGAACCCTATAAGGCATGGATTGCATTTCAAAGCTTGGATTCTCTTCTCATCAGACTTGAGCACAACACTAAGGAATAAGATGAGGTTATTCGATTTTCTAAGCTTGAGGACAAAATTTTTGGGTTATTAGGCAAGATATGGGAAAGGTCAGGATGAAAACACTTTTAGAGATTAGGAATTCGAGTTTAGGCAAAATGTTTTTTTTAACATTTGAGACAAGCACTGTTGGGTTTCTCTTGATGAGTTGGGTGGTTTAGGGTTTTGAGGAACCATGGTTCTAGAGAACTTCGATGACTGAGTCAGGTTTTTTTAGGGTTTTAAAATAACGTGTTTGGAGGCTCTTAAAGCAGATTCCGAGGACAACCACATTTGTTCTTGAGGTATGAAACTATAAATGAATGCTCGTTTGAAGAACTGAATACCCATATGAGGATTACTATGATAGTCCTAAAAGTTTGTGACTTTGAGTATCCCTTGTCGGATGTATGTCATGGCTCTTATCATTGTGAGTGTCGTCGGAATAATTGGTATTGTGATTTCGCCATTTGGGATTCGTCTTCACCATTTTCTTCGTCAGGTTTATGGGTTCTGTGAAGAATTTAGATTAACGGAGATCTAGAAAAAGAAAGTAAAAACCCTAACTGAAGCAATTATAGAAAAGAAGAAAAGAAAAATGAACCCTAACTGAAAGCAATTATGGAAAAGAAGAAAGAAAGGGGAAATTTGAGAAAATAAAAATGAAGATAAAGAGACACAAAATTTACGTGGAAACCCCTAAATAATACAGGGTAAAAACCACGGGCAACGGTAGAAGAATTTCACTATGAGAAAATAGGAATTACAACTTCTCTCAATCTACCAAGGAGAAACAATGATAATTCTCTCTTGATAAAAAGGAGAAACAACTCTCAATAAACTCTCTAAATTCTCTAGTATTGGAAGAAAACTAGAATGCTTTGGGATGGTTTTAAAGCTAAATGAGCTAGGGTATTATAGTTGAAGCTTAAGGACTAATTTGTAAATACCCTAAATTATAATGACTAAATTTTTATTTTTGCCTTTCATTTTTTCAACAAAATTCCAACTTGAATTCGGTGCAATAAATGCACCACTTTCATCGAAAGTTTCCCAACAATTTCCACCGAAATTAGCTTACAAATGTTGACTTTTCAACAATCTCCCACTTGAAGATTTGATTGGAACAATCATATCTTCACACCATTCTTTCTACCTTGTACCTTCATGTTGCTTACGTCTCTGACAAGCCACAGGAGGATCGACACCAGGTAAATTTATCAGTATTGATTGTCTTCGTCATGAAATATGATATGTTATCTTTGGTATGGATCTTCTGCATATCTATCGTCCCTTCTTCCACCTTTTCACGAATGAAATGGTACTGAACTCGTATGTTCTTTGTCCTTGAATGAAATATTGGATTCCTTGCTAGATGCAAGGCGCTTTGACTGTCACAAAACAGAGAAACATGCTCTTGATTGTGCCCAAGCTCCTTCAATAGCATCTTCAACCAAATTGCTTCTTTACTGGCTTGTGTAGCTACTACATATTCTACTTCTGTTGTTGATGTAGCCACAACTGACTGTAATTTTGAAACCTAGCTTACAGCTCCACCAGCAATTTTGAACACATATCATGTAGTAGATTTGCTTTTATCAATATCCCCTGCATAGTCAGAATCTACACACCCATTTTCAGAATCTACACCCATTTTAGTAAGTTGATCCTCCATAACATAATGCAATATTTGAGGTCTTTTCCTCTTTACTGTATTCCAATGCTCTTTGCCTGGATTTTTCATGTACCGACTAACCTCTCCCACTGCTTGTGTATGTCTGGTCTTGTGCATATCATAGCGAACATTAAACTTCCACTGCCGATGCATACGACACTCGAGACATAACCATTCTCTTCTTCACTGCTAGGACTCATACGGAGGATAATTTGAAGTTAATAGGAAGAGGGTAGAAATTGGCTTAATCTTGCATACTGAATCGTGACAAGATCTTCTTCAAGTAATTCTTTTGTGAAAGCCAAATTTCTATTACTTATGTCTCATGAATTTGCATCCCTATAATCTTGTTTGTTGGTTCCAAGTCCTTCATTCAATTCCCTAGTCATTTGTGCCTTCATTCTTCAATATGATCTTTTTTGGGTCCTGCAACCAACATGTCATCCACATACAACAGCAATATAACAAAATCTTTATCACCAGACCTCTTAAAATAAGCACAAGGTCAGCATTAAGTCTGTTGTAAGGACATAATGAAGGAATCAAATCTCTTATACCTGCACCTCGGTGTATGCTTTAGACCGTACAGAGATTTGTTCAACCTGCAAACAAGTTCTTCTTTTCTTTTTCTTCAAAACCTTCAGGCTGGAGCATGTAAATTTCTTCTTCAGATTCCATGAAGAAAAGTTGTTTTAACATCTAACTACTCTAGATGTAAGTCCATGTAGCACACATTCCAAACTACTCGAACTGTTGTTAGTCAAACCACAGGAGAAAAATATTTATTGAAATCAATACCTTCTTTTTTGAGCATATCCTTTGACCACCAGTCTTGCACGTACCTCTCTACTTGATCGTCACCATTCGCTTGATTTTAAAGACCCATTTGTTACAATTGGATTCTTTTCCTTGTGGTAGTGGCACAAGGTCCCATGTATTATTTTATAAAGGCTTCAATTTCTCTTG